ATACTATGCGAATTTAAATAATAGGCGCCATATCGACAGACACGAGTGTGCCGTAATATTACGACTTTCAAAGACTCGTGCAATGCCACGTTTCTTCGTTTGCAGTCTTTTTTTGTAACACCCTGTATAACGTTTAAAATAGCACAGGCCAACCAGAAAAATCAGCCGCTGTCCTTCAGTTTACAACTCATACGATACCCTATGGCCATGAGCAGTTAATTTTACAGGTTTAATTAACAGAAGGGTGGAAGGTGACCGGAGTCAGTAAATCAAATCACTTAGCCGGAGTTCTCTTCACAAAATGAATCGGTCCTCCTAACATTGGGTTCTGCGGTCCACAGCTGCCTTACAAGCTAGTAAGTCTTGGCGAGATTCCAGGTTCTCACGGAGAGTATGAAGACGACCGTGTAGTCTGCTAGATACTGAACGACGTTTCAGAGGTGCTTGGTGGATCATCAGGGTATTAAGCACCTCTAAAACGTCGGTCTATTACTACCAGACTATACTCTGTTGTATTTTGTATACATTGGTTTCGTATGATTCTTATTTTAAACATCGATTATTTCCTTAAACAGCGTTAACCAGTTGATCTTTGTAATGGTGAAGAGTTGTGTTTTCTTCGCGGTACGGACTGAATTCTTAAATATTTTTACGCGAGCTTCAGATTCAAGGAGGATTTACGTAGCGGTCACATGAATGCATTCGAAATGTATGCTGCATGAAATAAGTTCACTTTCAGCTGGTAATATAAGAAACTGGAAATTCAACTTGAGGAAAAGAATTTATGTAAATGCATACAGTACACCACGCACTGCAAAGACGAAACACAAAATCTTCCGTGTGGCCTAAGACAACGTTTCCTGTTCAAAGTTTAACAAATCGTTCTTTTACTTTGAAACAGATCTCAACAATGTTCACGACACATCGAGGGTTCCAGCTACTGTCATTATTTTTGCTCATTTAATTACGCTGTATCAAATGCAGGTCTACGGCGAATTGGAAATAATCGATGAAGAATTTGTAATGTTATATTACAGTGCTTCTTCCTTTTATATTAAAAAAGTATCAGTACTCAGATTATTTACAACAATTTGAACGTATTTAAATGATTTCTCTGTAAAAGAAAAAAAAAAGGTTCTCGTATTGCGTACCATTTCGCACTGTCATAAAAGATCATTTATATAATTCAAGATATTTCCGCTCACGAAAGGTCAAGTGTCAAACTTTGGAGGACACGTCAATGAACCTCTAGATTCAACAAAGGGCGAGCAGTTTCTTGACCAGCTGAGCAACTACTAACTTCTCAAGAGCGAATCTTTGTACATTCACAACATTAAAATAACTAGTCTACTAAATTTTACCTAAAATAAATAGGTAAGAATGTGAACTGGGCTCATCTTGCTCTTGAAAGGGGCAACGCAGAGAGTTCTTATGCATAATGGAGATACAAATATGAACACTCGTGAAAACAGTTGCTCGCACGGAATACGAATTTCAAAACTGTTCTATGCGAAGTCACATGAAAATCAGATCAATTAGAAATGGATTAGTGTCTGCAATGATACATAAAACCCGAATTTAGTGACAGCCTATGGGAGGTTTACACACAACAATAGTTTATAGTTACTGTAAATCGAACCCCTAATTCTGTGAAAAGTGACCGAGGATACCATTTTGTAAAGCTGTTTCCAAATTCCCATACACGCAAGAAAGAACAATTGACAAAAACCAAGGGATTTTTCAGGTAATCCTAAATAATTTGTGGATTATCCCAATTTCCCAGTAAAATTGTCGTTTCTGATACGAATTTGTATTTCATAGGAAGTTGTGTAGTGTTTCTATTTCGATAACAATGGAAATATTCATCACATTTTATATGCGTAATCAAGAACATTATTCAGTTCCTTACGATTATGTTAGATTTTGTATACCACTCACATGAGATATATGCAAGCCCAAATTCTGCAATATTTTTCTTGGCTTTTTAATCAAACGTTTTATTTTTAAAGCAAACCGCAGCCATTTCTTTCTCTCGACAGAATATTTATATTCGTAAAACAACCAAGATGAAAATATTATTTTCTTTCTGCCCGTGTGTGTCTGGGCGTTACGTTCAAATCTGGTGATCCTAATTAATTGAATACAGACGAAACTGGACTGAAGTGGGAGGCAAGTCCACTCCAGTGCGTGGTGTCTCGCCAGCACAGGTAATAAATAGCCCAATCCGTTTCCAATTGCCCAGTTACATAATTCAAGAAGTAAACCTTTGCATCACAGTGATCAACACAATAAATCTATTTTGCAATAACAGAGGACTGTTATGTATTTCGTAACCTAACCTCGATACGGAGAAATTACAGTAATGAACGACACAAGAAGTTAGTTTATCCAACATGCAATCCGATATCAAAATAACAACCATGAAAAATTCATCTCACTCTACAACAATGTTATTTCTACAAGGATGCGAGGATAATTTTTAACAAGGATCGGTTGAGAAACGAACCATAACCTCCGTATATGACTAGCTATGACATATATACACCATTTTACGAACTACATTTATTTAATTGACATATTCAGAACTCACCGGCGACAATTCCACTTCTTCTTCGCTGTGTTCGATTTGTTGGTTTTGCTGTAGCTGTTGTTTTGTTCTTTTACCCTGAGCTCGTGGAACTTTGTCACTGAGCTTGGGAGAGTTCATGCCGGTTATCACATATGAGAACTTTGAAACTAAATTATGCTAAAATATCTGCACACGCATATTACTCATTCATATTGAACATTTATACCAAACCTCAATACGCAGACAGCAGCTGTCCAGCATATTGACAACAGCACCATTTTCCTACATCCCCTGCTTTGCACTGCGCAACTGTCGTCTGCTCTGCTGGGGAGAACTGAAAGTATCGTCTGCTACGATGAGGTACGACGTGAGTCAAAGTATCACAACACAACAAAACAAACTGAAGGAACCAAAATAGCAACAATTTTCTATTTCTTCTTTGAGGTTAAGAGCATTTGCAAATTACAATTTTATTGCTTTGGCTCCGTTGTATAATAATAAATTGTAAAGGTCGAAAAAAAACGCGGCGCACGAGATTCATACGTGCCTCCCAACATGTCCTATTCCTTTTAAAACTTTATTTCGAATATCGACGAAGTAACATTTTGAGTCATCGTATCAGCTGAACTGCTAATGCTATCGACAGTTGACGTGTCAATGGTACATTTCAAATTATTAACCTGGATTTATCTCATACTGAGAAAGATCACAAACGACCTCAGCTGAAACACTGGTCCAACAGCCAGGGCAGAATCAAATACAACTTGGTCAGGCACTTAGTTTCATTCTAGACATTCATGGACACAGTTTAGATGTCAGAAGCATTTAAATTTGGTGGGGTAAATAAACTTCAGGCCACAAATTCAAAGCAAAAAATGTACACACAGCATTAATAATTCTAACATATATAACAATTTCACTTTTGTAAATGATGCTAATTACATCAGAGTCCTTACGATCAAGGACATTTGTTTCGACAAAGTTCTGGTTCAATAGTATCTCTTCATGTAGATTTCTCCATGAGCTTCCACAGTTGGATGGGCCTTCACCCATCTGGTTCCTTCACTGGTTGTGGCTCCTGGCTGTCACTTCTTCAAAGAAGAATGCATGCAGATCTTAACATACAGAGCATTATTGTTGCCCCATTATGTCTGAAGATGAGAAGTGTTCATTAATTGCAGTAAAACTCTTTAATGTAACATACCATGTAAATCTGTCAAAGACATGGCAATGCTAGTAGACATATATTTGCAACTTTTAACTGTAGACACACCTAAAAATGTTATCACGACCAGAATGTATGTTGTTTGCCACCTAATCCATCCTTATATCTTCTTCCTCCAGACTGCAGATAACCAGCAGTCGATGTTCATTTTTATATCCCCTTACATTTCAAGCATACTGTTTGTAAACAAAGCTTATCTGTGAATGAGTGAGCCAAAATAAGGGGGGGAAAAAGGTGGGGTGCTTGGTGTACAGTCTGGGTGTTGTCTTGTGTTGAAATGAGTCAATATGGGAATTGCTGGTCATAAGCTGTTGCACAACTTCCTGCAAGATGAACCTGTTTGATCTTTATATCTCCTCCTGCCCTTAATAGGCACAACATTTACAAAATTATGTAATTTGCTTTGCGGAGTTGAGACTTACATTATTAAATGAAAACATTATCAAAATTCCACATGTAATCATGAAGAAAACTCACTTGGCTGAAGGTCATCCTGGTTGAGAGCATAAAAGTTCAAAAAAAAAATTATGTAAAAAATTTGGGATTATTTTATTTTTATATATTACGCAGAACTGTTACAACAACTGCAGTACAAAGTGTAAGGCTACTTAGATGGCCCGTCTTCTGGGTTGTAGTGCCGTGAAATCTGGTAGAAGTTTACCGACATTACAGAGGTCTTCATCACCCTGATGATAGATGCAGCAAGGACCTCTGAAACGATGGTGAACTAATCATACGACTTTCACAGAAAATGAAGAAGCTAGATTTTGTACAATTTATTCTTCATACCGTACACATTCATTCAAAATGCACTGATCGCATGGACATCAATGAGTCAAAGAAAGGTTTCTGAAGCCAAATTTGCTTTTGAGTACTTTTATTTTTACATACTGTTTGGACAACTGCTTGTATATTAGACGTTCATACCGGAATTTCATCAATTCCAATACGAAATGCTGCATACTTTTCGAAGTGCAGGAAAGGGAAATTCTGTTGGAAGAACCGTCAATTATTCCTCCAGTCACAACTTCACTGACAATCAAAATTAAATTCGAAGTAAGCCGAATCAAAATTATGTATACGGATGTAACCATCTTCGCCCCCGCTACTGTAGCTCTTTCCATCTGGATGGAACGCGACACTGTTGATCGGTCCAAAGTGGCCTTTTACGCGACCAAATTCTTCCTCGAACACTAGGTGAAAGAATCGTGAGTCAAATTTTCCGATGCGCGTCGACGTCGTCGTGACATCCATCGCATCTTGGCCGCCACCGACCACAACCTATAAGAATTAACTTTCATTACGGCAAAAATATACACATTACATAAATTTTAATTAAAGTAACACCAAATCTGACCGTCCTCAAGTAACCTACCTTCAGTCGAAGACCGGCCGATCACCACGAGAATCCGTCACGCCATTACATTCGATACTTACGCTCAGAAAACCGCTGTTTCTACCTTACATCTCCAGATTCGAAACTGTGGTTCTGTTAGTGCTGACAAGGACGGAGTCTCGCGAACAATAAAGTATGAGAGACTTAACTAGCAGAAGCGGACTCACGTGATCGTAGATGGGCGAGATTGCGGCACTGTTCACGGGTCGTTCTGTCTTGTACGTCTTGAGACAGCTCAGTGTGTCTGTATCAAACAGTCTTGCTGTGTAGTCTTTTGATGCTGTGATGAACATTATACCATGTTTACTCATCTGCATATCATTTATTGATCCGCTATGATCGTTAGTGCTATTCATAGTCTTACCCATCTGGGGAAAGAAATATCTTGTATGTACACAAATACGCAGACTTAAACACGATTAAAATCAGAATGCAAATGTCTGGAAGTAAATTAAGGGAATTATTATGTGGAGGTAATTAAAATCTGATAAGTTGGTATCATATAAATGAGATTACACTTTGCATAAGTCAGAATAAAAAAAAATATTCCTCGCTTCTTGCTAGTCGGAACTATAGGGCAACAAACAACAAAAACGTCGTCTACCCGCACAATTTGTCGTTTGACAGAGGTTTTAAAACAAAGATATAACGGGAAACGATGCCTGTACACTACGAAAAATACGTTGCAAGAAATTAAAACCGAAGTCGGAGTCGCACAAATACTAAGGGTCTTCGGCAGAATTTAAATATCGTACCGGTGTTCTGCGTCAGACTGCTGGAATGCCAAACAAAAAAAATGTTTACAGAAGCTGTATCATACTGAAGTTAAAATAAAATCCAAGAATTTTCACACTTACACGTAAGTCCCACTGAGTGAGTTCTCCGTTTTCATGGCCTGTAATAACGGACTTATCCAGCGGTCCCCATAACATCGAGGTCACCTTCGGCCCAGTGTTGGGAATGGGTATGCGAAGAATTGGATGCGCTTTCCCTGAATAAGACGTTGTCATGTTATTCGTCTCTCTCTGTGACAATATTTGGATTATACAAATCAGCAGGGCTTAATGACATTCACAGACGGCTCTGATGATAAGAAACTCTCACCAAACAAAAGAGAAAATTTTAAAATCTCACAATAAAATGTGATACATCCAATATCAGGAAGATAGCAAAATCCTTATTCAACCGCAACTAAAATAATTACAGATTTTATATATGAATTCAACTAGAGCTGGAGACTAAAATCACAAATATCTTTCAAATTAGAACGTTTCAACTTTTCTGTGCTGAATAGTTTGGGCCTTAGAAACCATTGAAAAAAAAATTCAAATCAAACCCAGCTTAATTTAAGGCAAAATTAACGGAACCAGTTGAACACGCAATTCTGGTGTTCAAGAGTGAAATACCAGAATAGCGAGTAGGCATTTCAAGAGACGGACATTCTACTGAGGTAAATGCGTGTGAATACGATACGTGAAAAGCACACAACAGAATGCCAGATCAGATACTATCTAGCAAACATCACAGAAGCCGAAGCTCCTCAACTGCTATAAATTTTAATCATTTTTGGCAATGGCGCTGTGTGGCTAACAAAGTAGAGTATAACTGCATTCAATTAAAAACAAATTAATTAGCAAAATATTAACACAAAAGACATACCTTCTTTTAATCATTAATGGACCAAAAACATTCTGGATATTGAAATTTCCTGTCCTCAATATAAAACACAAATCCGTCAGACACGCTCAGAATTACGCTCGCCTGTCTATAAAGAGAAATGTTTATTTTTGCCGTGCTTAAAAATCCGGCAACTGCGCTAATTTCAGAAGCTCAAATTATTGTAATGATAAGTCATTTTATTTTAAATACATCTGCAATAGTTTCCAACGAAACGTGTATTTGTAATGAACATTAAGGTTGTAGTCGCGACATCTGACACCAGAATGACTCGGAGTGTTGGTTTCGGGGTTCAGTAACCTTTCTTTAGGGACAAAAGAATTCTACGAATAAAAATGTCTGTAAAACTTATGCTACATATTTACAATTCCCAAAATGAAATACCATGACAAAAGGAAAATGTC